TTTTAATTTTATTTGTCAATATGTAAAATGAAAAATTATAATAAAAAGTTAATCAATTTACTTGAAAATTTTAAAATAAATATATTTTTTCTAAACAACTTTACTTAGTGCATAAAGATCAATTTAATGAATATTTTTACTATAATTTACCTTTATATAATTACATATCTTTATAATTTTTAAATAATATAACTATATAAAGGTACCTTTATTTAATCACTTTTATACTATCACCACATTGAGATGCCCAACTGCGTGATTATATGAAGAGATGACTGTATCCATTTATCTCTTAAGCAATTAAGTAAATTATACCTATCTGTGTCATGTGCTCGTTCGCACGATATTATATTATCTGCATGCTCGATTAGAATTAACAGCAACACTTTTGAATCTAACCGGATTGCTTTCGGCATATCATCGTTTCGTTGACTTTTGTCAACTTGAATATACTCAATTTCAAACTTTATGAAGAATACATGCCATAGAAGTTTGTTGTAAACATTTTTAATAATGGCTTGTGATGTAGGTTTTTTATAACGGCTTTTTATATTGCAACTTATTATAACAGTTTGTTGTATAACAAAATTTGTTATATAATAATCTAACAGTATAACTATGTAAAGGCTATGTAACGCTATGTGACGGCTTTATAATGGTTTTGAATATTCAAATTAACTCAATTTCATACTTAATACGAATTGATTCGAATATTCGATTCCAACCTCTAATCAGAAGAAAGAACCTTCTGGAGGTTGAGGTAATTTCTTATTATGTGGGTTTGACATCTCGCTATTTCAAATTGTAGTTTCTATAAGAACAATTGTGAATAATATCAAAAATTGAGTTTGATTACCTACCGACGTAATTCTGTTAATACGGTTTCAAGTGTATAACTTCTTTTCCAATTAGCCAGGCAGCTCAGTTTAGTGGCTTCAACCTAAACGAAAGTTTGAGTGAAAAAAAAGATAAACAGAAAAAAATATATAAAACGTTCTCCAGACATATTACCTTTCCCGTTTGTTGATTAACACAAGGCAAATTGATTCGAGAAATAAAATGCACTGTTGGTGGAGAATCGGGGTACTTCTCATCGCAATGCAGTTTCAAGCTATAAATGCGATTTTCATGAATGGTCTATATGGAGGAATCAACAAAGTATGGTGTCACTACCTCTAGTGATTAAAATGTTATGATTAAACACTGTTTTCTGATAGCTTACATGGCCAGGCCCTATAATAGTGCCATTCCAATCACTCATATATATATCGTCACTGTTTGAAAGGCCATAGCTGCATGTGCCATCACCAATACCTTTTTCTCCCTTTTCCAATTCTTCAAGTAATCTAAAGTTGCGTGGAACTATGCAAGGCAAAAGAAAATTCAATCGAAAGTATTAAGAAGCAAGTTTATAATAATGGAGCTTAAAAAATCCAGTGAGGAATTAAATAAGTAATTTAGTAATAGTCTTGATTTGTTTGCTTTTTTTTTGAAAGAATAATCATTACTATTATATAACAGAACGATATTCATCACAAAACCTTTCAAAAACGTAAAACCACGCATATAACCTTGTGTTAAGTAAAGAAAGACTACCTGTAGTCATATCTTCGGTGTTTAAGCAAAAAAGACTATCAAGTGTTCGAAATATAAGGAGGGAAAGAAAAGCAGACTGTCAAATAACTTAGGTGGCAAAGCATGACAGGTATTATGATTTTATTGCATGAATATTATCGATATATCTAAAATCGGCGCTCACATGATGAATTTTCCCTATATATGAATAGGGCATACCCGATACCTATTTTAACAAATTATTTCTTTTTTCATTTCTGTCGCAGCAATTATAAATGGAAAATTTCATAGGAGCAGTTGATAAACTCGAGTGGGCTCTGATACTGAATACTCCTGTACAGGATGTTTCCGCGCTGCTTGAACAAGACGCGTTTGATACTAATTTGACATCAACAGTTATTAATAGTCAGTACAAACAAAGCTTAACTTGCACGATCGCGCGAGAAATTCTTGGAATAGAATTGCCTAACGACGATCAAGATATAAAAGCCTTTGTAGAAACATTAGATATTAGTTCGTATATTTCTATTAGGATAAAAAATTATCTTTCATTTGATCCCAATTCTTCTCACGAACTAATTAAGAAACAACAAATTATCAAGCAGTTACATTTATTGTGCGTCGCGGTGGCTTCCTTAAATGCTTTCGTACAAACTTGTTGGACCGGTCCAGTTTTTGATCTAGAACCTCAAGATATCCTTCCTGCAGTCATTAAAGAACGTTACAATGTCACTGAATTGAACAAGAAAATTCATGAAATTTTGTCAGTTGATGGTGAAGACATTTATCATTTGACGCTTCGCGCTTTATATTTGTTGATCCCGAGAATTATATTGGTTGAAAATGCAATGTTATTTACTCATCTAAAGAGTACCAGTTGGTGGGGTCAGAGAGTTTTATTCATACAACAACGTATTCTTGATAATGTTAGTGGATCATTGCATGACATTATATTACAGTATATGCAATCTTTAAGCGATGCACTTCCGAACTTACTTCCAGAAGAAAAGACGACCGAGATATATGCTCGGTTTCATTTAGAATACGGTATTATAAATCATTATTATGGACATGATTCCTTGGCCAAAGAACATTTTGTAAAAGCACAAGAATTAAGTGGTTTTAAATGGTCATTTACAGGAATGCTAGGAAAACGGACAAAATTTCAAACTTTTAACGTATCTCAGTTGTTAATTATTGCAAACAGTCAAAATGATGTAAATTTTAAAAAAGATGATGATTCAGAAGATTCAAGAATAAGAAAGGTTCCAAGCGCTATATCACTTAACGATGACACGCTATTAGAGAAAATTGAAATTTCAGAAGCAACAGATGATATCAATGAATTAGATTCAAAAAGTAATCTCAAAATAATTGATCAATGTTTGCTGCTCGCTTTTTGTTTGAATGTAAAAAACACAAATCCATCACATGGTATAACCACCGAACAAATGGTACCTTTTGTATCAAGGGTACTTGAAAATCCAAATAACTGGATGGTTTATACAATGGCACTTCTGCTCAGATCACGCCTTGAAAAAGAAAAGTCGCGAACTGTAGAACGATCAGTTCTTCAACTTCAAGCGCTCGTTGATCAATTTCCTTTAGAATTATCTAGCGCAAAAGAACGTTTGGATTACTTCTATCAGATTCTTTTACCGTCGAAATGGGAAATGGAAAAAGAACTTGCTTTGCAATACTTGTCTCTGGGGGTAGTTCGTTCTGCCTTACAGATATTTGAACGCCTTGAAATGTGGGAAGACATTATAAATTGTTATATAATGCTTGGAAAGGAGTTTAAAGCTAAAGAGATTATTCTTGAGCGTCTGAATGTTACGCCAAGTTCTCCAAAACTTTATTGCCTTTTAGGTGATGTTGAAAAGAATCCGAAACATTGGGAGCATGCATGGGACATATCAGGTAGTCGTTATGGACGTGCTATGAGATCTCTCGGTGCATACTGGTTTAAACAAAAGGAATATCGGAGATCAATTGAATGCTATACAAAAGCTCTCACTGTAAATCCGATTTTTGAAAAAGCTTGGTTTGTTCAAGGTTGTGCAGCAATGCATGTGGAAGAGTGGGATGTTGCACAGCAAGCTTTTTATAGAGCGATTTCTCTTGATCCTGAAAACTCTGAAGCATGGAACAATCTTGCATCAATTTTCCTTAGACAAGGCCGCAAGCCAGAAGCATTTAATGCTTTTCGACAAGGTTTAAAACAAAAATATGATAGTTGGAGGATTTGGACAAATTACATGTATACTGCTGTTGATATAGGAGAATTTTCCGAAACAATTCGCGCCATGCAACGAGTTGTGGATTTGAGATGGGAAAAAGAAAAGGAATCATGTATTGATTTAGATGTTCTTGAGATTCTTGTAAACGCTGTTATTCAAGGAATTCAAGATGCTAATAAAAACAGCGCGTCTAAATTAGCGCCACGACTTGAACATTTATTGACAGAAACTATTACCTCGCGGATGACGTCACACCCACAAATATGGAGGCTTTGCGCGCAATTTTGGTTTTGGAAAAAAGAGTACGAAAAAGCCCTTGAGTCTCATTTGAAAGCATATCGATGTATTTTACATAATCCAAAATTAGAAATTTCGGAAAATATATTTAAACAAGTTGCAACTACAGCATTAGAAGTTGTAGAAGCCTACCAAAACCTTGGTGATTTAAAAATTAGTCATAATAACAAAGAAGCGTTATTAGAAGACTCAAAAACGGAAATATCAGCTGCAGTGGTATGTAAAGATTGGAAATATCAAGCCAAAAGTTTATTGACAAGTTTAATAGGTAAGACAAAGAATTTTGAAGGCACAGAAATGCATGATAAATTAAAAGAAACATTAAAAGAATTAAAGAGTTTATAGCTGTAGATTTATTTTCATTAAAAAAAACAAATAAATCACACCTGTGGTGTTTAACGCCAGTCATTGTAGATCAAAATAATTTTTATTAAATCAAAAATTAAATTTTGTGGCCTGGGATGGAGCAATGGCATAGCTTATACCAAAATTTTGCAAGGAATTTTTTTTTTGTTAGAGCCTCAAAGAACCATTTCATAGATGAATTTTGAGTTACAACCATTTTTTAAAAAATTAATGTTACAACAGATCTTCACGTTACACCGCATTTTATAAAATAATATTGTAAAACTAGTAATGATTGAGTTTAACTTTTTTTTGTGCTAAAAAAAACAATCGTACAAAATTTATACTTTGTAATTAAAATACATCGGTATCATGAAACCTGCATATTTAACTCTAACAATACAAGTTGCAAGGCCTCCACAATTTCTTCTACAGAGACCGGTTTAACATTATAGAATTTCGGCTCTCCGATTATGTCTAAAGTATCATCAGAATCTTGCTCATCCTCCATATATATATCATCATCATCATCATCCTCTGGAGTCATGGGTTGATCATCCAAATCCTCATGATAGCCTAAAGTGTCTCTAATTCGTTTCTCATATTCATATGACTCAAATTTATCCCCAAGAATAAAGGTTGATCCAGCCTTAATTAATTCCGGGTTGTGTTCGATAATTTTAACCTGTTCTTGTCGAGACAAACGTAAAAATTGAGACACCATATCACCATCAATAGTAACATTGATAGAGCCGGTATGGTTACTATCCGATCTAAATCTTATATTATGATTACCTGAATAAAATAACAATTTAGTAAAAAATTTTAATAAAACCCATTAATCCTTTCAGAAAAACTTGCCTAAACATGGACGTGTTGATGGCCATTTTTCAAGAATGGATTGCAAAACGGATAAGAGTCGGTACGATTTTATACTGATTCGCATGAAAAGAAGCACACTTCCAATAAGAGAACAGCCAATGATTGTTGCAACTGGATGTGTAAGATCATAGTTCATATCCCATCCCAAATCGTCAAGCACTTTGACTTCAGAATTGTGGTCCGACGATGTTTCTGAGTGCTTATTCATTGTTTCTGTTCGGTAACCAAGATATCCAACACGTAATCGTGAAACAATTTCGGCTTCATGAAATGAGAAAACTGGTTCCAAACATGGTTCAATACTTGGATCGTCTGTAGAATCAATGATAACTTCTTTAGACATTTTAAGCTCAGAATTTGACGTGCACATTGAAAATTAATACCTTTATTATATAATAACCCGAATATATTTCCACACTTGTCAGCACCAACTGCCAAATTTTCGTTTAACATAATTGAATCAGAAATTAAACGTGTTAGTCTTTCTCTACATTAAAATTTATAAAATGAGTTAATGCTATGACATAAAAACGAATAATATCGGTCACGGCTGAAACTGAAGTTGGATATTAGGGACCTTGGCTTAAAATTTCCAGCTTCAGTAGTTTCTAGTTATAGTCGCGACGATATCAAATAAAATTAAATGCATTTACGTCTTTAAAAAAGTAAACGGTTCTTTCTCCGGGTTGAATTCATAAAATGAGAGAGATCCTTTTTGTGTGCCAACGCATATCCGGGTTCCATATGCGTTTATTGACAAAATGGGCCACCGAAGTTCTTTGCTATGAACCTTTCTTAATCTAATAGAACACGTAAATGTTATGACGAATAGAATGAAAAGTTTTACTTATAAAAAAAATATATATATACTGTACTTTTTTTCTTCAACGTAATGACGTAACAGATTTAAAGTTTTTCCAGCTCCGATAAGAATATAGCTATCGATAATAGTAAAGTTAATATGAAATGGTCAAAACTTCAGATACCGGAAAAGAAACATTGAAGGGCTACGTACGTCTCACTCAATGGGCATATTGCATGAACAACTCCATTGACATCAATCTGATTGATTTTCCATAATTCATATTTAAATCCAGAACCCTTTATTAAATAAAGTTATTAGTATTTATATAAATTAAATATAGATTATAAAGAGAACTAAAGGTTTACTTGGACAACAGGGGTTTTTCTTATCGAAAAAATCATAAGCCGCCCTCCAGTGGGTGCAACCTTCCCGATCATATGCCTTTCATCTGCATAATGTACACCGATCCCAACGCATATCCAACGATATTCTTGTCTTTCAATTGTGAACTGCCACCCTAATAATCGCAAAATACTCCAATCAATTTCATATAAAATTATTCAATTAATGTAAAAATAAAATCAATACCTGTGATTGAATAAACCGCCTCAAGATTATCAGGATAGTCCTCGTCCTGCAATTTAAATTCGTGTATAATATCTCCACTAAAAATAAAATTTATTCATTACCTTGAGAACTTTACTAATATTTGTACTAAAGAAATCACTCACTTTACTGGGTCAATGAGTTTTAAAACAGAAATGGGGAAATCATCTTTACAACTTGTGCATGCAACTACTATTAGTTTATTGGAATCATCATAAAATAATCTACGTGGTGTCTAATTGAGTAAACAAAACTTAGAATTGGAATTACAGTTTTGATTAAAAGTATAGATATAACCTACATCTCGTACGGGTATCGTTCTTATATTGTCCTTTGTGAAATTATTTAATTGCACGAAATTGAGACAGTTTTGCGAAATAAACATATAACCCTGTAATAAATTATCATAACGGAAAACTGTGGCATCTTGAACCTATAAAAAGTATAAATCAATAAAAAAATTCAATAACGTACATAAGAAAAACAAACAAGACATTTTAATTAAATTGATTCATACATGTTCATAATGTTCAAATGCCACGCATACAAAATTCAACCCGGTATGATTTGAATGTTTTACTTGCCATGGTCTATCTGATAACGCTAGTACAGTATGGGAATCAATTTGTTCTCTAATAAATGTTTGACTTGAATCTGGTACAATAAACTTGACAGGTAATGTGCCAATTCGTCTGACCACCGGGTTTGTAAGATGTGGTTTGTTCTCAGCTAATTAATAACTACATTAGAAAATTTTCCAACACAAGTACTTTTTAGGATAAATAAGGTTTATAGTTACCTGATGACCAAGACCATTGGTAGTAAATGATTGTACCCTCCCTGAGACCTATAACAAATTATTATCAACTATACACTTTGCACGAAATTAACATCAAATATTATCACGATAAGAGTTCATACTTACCAACTAAGAAAAATGGGTTTTCCACACTTCCAATGATACACGCAGATTCAGGTATATTTACATTCATGATAGAATAATCCACTATAAAGCAAAAATATGTATGTATGTACATATAGGATGTTAAGGAAATTCGTAATTAATTAATAGGAATACGCAGATTACTGACAGAAACTTACTCAAAAGTTCCTCGCGTAACATCTCCAGATAGTTATCAGGCTTTAATGATAAGAGCTTAATACTTGGCTTAAACGTTCCAATAACACAGAGAGGATAAGGGACAAGATCACTTGAATCAAATATGACAAACTCAATATCAGTGTATGGTTGGTACATTCAATAATTCCGAGAGAATGAATCAATTAATAAAAACCTTGGTGCTATGCATCGGATAAAGCATAACTGACAGTCCAAACTGGATTGTGAAACTTCAGTGAAGGTTATTTGCCTTCTATTTAATGGAAAACAATAAATATATATTTTTATAGCTTGATACAATTAGAAGTGCATAAACACTCACGTATCCTCAAAATTTAAGCGAAGGAGGGCTATGACGCTTCCGTTAATGGTTGATAAGCCAACGACAATGTTCGAATCATACACTGCAGCAACTTCAATGACTGCATTTTCGGGCGAAGTCCACGTCCATCGGCTTGAAGTAATACAAGAGTTTTCAACGATAGCTTCATTATAATTACGATGAAACATCATTCTTATAAGATTAAAATTATAAAAAGCAAAGCTGATTCACACATACCACCTATTCCCACATTAGGCTCAGATACAACAATTTTTAGACGATGGATTTGAATTACAAAACCGGGAGCGGAACTGAAAGAAGCCACACATAAAGAGTTCACTTCTAAATCAAGCCCACTGTACTCGCTAATATCATGTAATTCTCCCTGACTAACTTTCATTAAACGCGTAGAATTGGCATACGAAAGAGCCAAAAACGAATCAGCTTCATCACCATGACTATACTTTAAATTCCAAAGTGCATTAACTCTGTCATATATTAAAAAAATTAAACCAAAATTGCAACATTAAACTTTCGGAATGTGATAAGTTCTTTAAATAAGTTGATAGAATCATTACCCATGGAAATCAGGGCCTGTCCGCGTGATTATATTGACACAGACAGCTTTTCTTAATTCCCTAATAGAACCGTGTTTATCACGTCCACTACAAGTAAAAATAACATCATGACGCTCTTGATAGAAATCGAGCATTTGGAAATCTAATATTGGCGCCCAATTGGGTATACTACAAGTTATTTCAGTCTTTGAATTTGGGCAAACCTGAAGAATTAATATGAATCCTTGAATCTAAAACAAGTTACATTATAACAATAAAATGGGTGTCAAAAAAATTTAGTGTCCCTACCAGCACAACAGCACCATCACTCATTTCCCCACTTAAAATGACAAAATCCCCGACATTAAGGTCAAAGCTCAGAACTGTCATAGCGGTCCCAATTGAATTTAATCCCTTCCGCAAAAGGGTATACTCAATCTGGACGTCAGAATTTATATCAATCCGATATAAGTCACCATTTTCTACACCGGCATAAACGTATTGTTGAGATGACGAAGCCTGTTTTGATGCATATGCATCCGCAGGATAAGCGAACGCAGTTACAAGAACTAATGAATACTTATTGGTGAATATTATCACCTTATGAATTTTAAACATTATGCCTTATCAAACAAATGAAAGCAAATTAAATGGTTTTGTAAAATTACATTCAGGAAAGGGTAGTGATTCTCGACAAAAATCAGCAATCCCACTAATGACTTGTTTTGCTTGAATGAAACAAGTTTCACGTTCCTATTATATTGACATATTGATATTAATGTCAATGGTCCGATACATAATATGTTTGTACAATCAAACCTCTCGAAGTGTACATGATCAAGCCCATAGAAATCTTATAAAACTTCACGCTCCAAACGCACACTTACATATTTTAGCGTATGACTCCAAGGACATACATTTAGAGAGGTTTGACTGTATGTATAAATATATAAATATACAATAATTCGCACATTAACTAGCAAAAAACACTCGGGAAAATTCGGAAGAGGTATAAGATGTAATGGAAGCGGCTCGTCTATAGAATAATCACAAATGTTAAAAAGAAACAACATAATAGTGCATTCAATATAGACCAATAATTTCTATAATACCTTTGCGTAAAGGTAATTTGGAAAAAGGTGTTATATTTCTTTCAGGTGCATCCTCTGCCGAAAATTGGTATATTATAATACTAGTTTGTTTATCTAAGTCGCTATAATAATATATTCATTTTAATGAATTAAATTGCAAGAAAACACGAATATCCAATATATATATATGTGTATATGTATCAACGAAGAAGGCTTACTCGTGTACAGCCATTGCTAACAAGATTCGCGTCTTATCTGATGGATATAAAAATGTCATACAACATATTATTCTGCCTTGAGGATATTCTTTTGTCTAGCCAACAAAAAAAAGGACACAAATGACACATGAAATTAAATATATAACGTTCATGACACCATAAGCCGTACCTGACTAATTTGATCAAAAGAGGCCTTTGGACCGCGATGTAGTGAAAACAATTGGAATATATTTTGCCATGCAGCCACAGCAATAAGACAACCGCTTTAGAAGTTCAGGTAAAAAATTATATAATATTAATCACTGTATTGTCATTTCATAGGATATCAAAATGTCTACTTACGAAGGATCTATGCATACTAATCGGCCAAGTTTTCGATAGTCAAAACCAGGTTGTGACAAAGGGATCTTTACCATGAAGATTTGTATTACATTTACATATTTAAATATAAACCACATTTATTTAGATAATTATTATATATCAAGTCTAACCTCTTTTATTATTTGAAACCTCCCAGTCTTTCTGGATGTCTCAACACACGACCCATTTACTGAAGAGACAGCTTTTCCCTTTTCTTTATGAACATTGTGCAGACCTTCGTTAAAATGTACATTCACACATTCCGTATATGCTATAAATGATAAAACTCCAGAATCGGACAAACAAACTAGAACATCTTGCCCTGGTATCATTCTGAGATGCTGTAATTCAGATATATTATCACCAAGATACATTTGTACGGATCCATTAATCGGATCAAATAATAAAGGACCCGAAAAGTTACAATGAAGAACAGCAAAATCCTTTATCGTGCCAAACACTGGTTGCTCAATAATAGGAATCAGATCACCCTCTTGAGTTATCTCTAAAAGTTCTAATACCGTTTCCTTTAAATTTAGAATACACATTTAGTTGGTAACTTATAATACTTTTAATAAGCCGATCAATTAAGTAGAATATACCTTTGAGAAAACAACGTCTTTACGTTCCTTGCCTCTTAATGCACAGACAAGCATTTTGTGAATAACACAACTATGTACCGCAGTTTTAGCATAAACTCGAAGTTTTGAATCTTCCGAATCTCTGTGTCTATCCGAGAAATCAAGATAACTTGCCATATTTATGAAGGTACGCGGTGAACAGCCGTGGGTTTTAAAATCATAAAACCTTGATAAGTCACAATATAAAGATTGCACTAACCAATCATATTTATTTTGATCACATGAAAAAATTCCGTCAGCTAATTTTTTTTTAATCTTGAACAGTATTTTACCTACTAGTTTGTTTTTGCTGATTTTATTACCAAAATAAAATGTTCGTCTTTATGAGGTGATTCTAACTATCCCAAAATCATTAAAATATTATTACTGAATCATTAAGGATTTTTTACAAGATGACGCACCTACAACGTGTGATCATTCCTTAGTTACGGTCTAACCAACGGCCCCACATTGTAGGTGTGCCATTCCTATAAAAAACCCTAACAACCTTATAATTTAGTAATTGGTTTTAGGTTGTTTTTTTTTTTTGCTTTCGCTAAGGCTGCCTTTATTGTGTTTTTAATTATGGTTATATAACTTGTACAAGGTGAGTATGCAATTACAACTTTTGGTTATTTATTTATTTATTTATTTTTAATATTAAGGTGAGTACTTGTGATTCAGGATTTTATTGATAGTATATTTGGCTAATGGTTGCATTACAACCACAGGAGGCAACCATGGGAAAAGTGTACAACTAGCCATTTATACAACTTTAATTATTGTCTAAATTAAGTAGTCCATCTGAAGGTTTTACATTAACTGTCATATCTAGAATCTGCTTGTAGGTTCCTTATTTAATTATTTAGTTTTTGTATTCACTTACCTATTTCTGCTTACCAATGATCTTGATTAATGTCAATGAAAATATATCATGATTACTAAGTTTTTAAAGCAGTTTACTTATATGAAAAACCTTTGATCTTGTATTAAACCTTTTAGAATTTTCTGTATTTTATTCTTACAATTGATTTGATATTATTATGGTCAAGACCAATACTGGCAGTTAGGGTGTATTATTAAACCATTATACTCTTATAGAGTTTACTTCAATCCTGATATTAATTTTACAACATATTTTTACTACTTTGGTATTTAATTCAAATTTTATTAAGTTGTTATTCCAGATAGTTTAGAAAGATAAATCAAAACCATACATTTTTGGTTTATATATTTGTTGGCATATATTTTTTTCTTTCGGAATTCAAAAATTCTAGTAGTCTGGTTGGTTTATCCAGTTCCTTTTCAAAGACTGGCATATTTGCTCAATTTCACAAGTTCTAGTTTCGTTTTATAAGTTTAGTCTTTACAATAACATTATCAAAGGTTTGGGGTTACTTCTTAACTTGGGTTTTCTAAATGGGTTTCTGTCTTCTTATCTGGTTTCTGTGATTTATATAGCTTAAGAATTTATTTTGGATTCACATTGCCTAATATCAGTTTGTATTCTTTTATACAATATTGTATAAGTGCCTAAACTTTTTAGTCATGCTAGTATAATATGGGTTACAGGTATCTTATCTCAACCAATTATAGAAGACAGTTAGCTATAATACAGAAAGAATTGCAAATTTTTACTGTTACTGAGATTTGAACTCTAGACCTGTCATTTGGAAGTTAACAACCTATTTACTTTACTAAATTGCTATATTCTATTTTGGTTATTTATTTAAGTAGTTTGCTCATAAGGTTTATATTAACTGTTATAACTGTAATTTGTTAGAAGATTATTTAATTAAAAACTGACTTTTATACTATACTTGATGAATAATTGAATAGTATACAAGTTTCTATATATTTAAGTGTTGTTTAATTTAATTTTGATTTTTTTGTTAATATGTTTGTTAAGTTGTTATATATTTTTAAGTATATCATTTAACTGTAAGATTTCACAAAGTTTTTCTGTTAGCTAACTACTATATTTAGTTCTTATTAACAAAGTTTGTTTTTGTAAAGTTTATTTAAATCTTAATATTAATTTTACAATATATTTTTAGTACTTATAATTTATCTTTGCTTTTATTATTGGATTTCTAATTCAGATAATCTAATAAAATTATGATCTGTTTCTAATATACCAAGTCTGATTTAATATTCTTTTTTTTTGATTTGAGATTTCTGACAATCTAGTTAGTAGTATTTTTTATTCAAGGTCTTGGCTTACCTAATTTTTTCATATTGGTATTTGTTTTCTAAGTTTAGTCTTTATAGTAGTATTGTCAAAAATTTGTGTTAGCTTTTTATTTAAATCTTTTTAAATAAGTTCTGATTTCTTAATTTTATAGATTTATATAAATATAAGACTTTATTTTGAGTTTATATTCTCAGTATTAGTTTGCATCTCTCTGTATAATTAAAGTTATATAAATATCTTATAATCTATCTATTATATTAATATAATTGTAGTTACAAATATTTTATTCTGAGGATAGTGATCCTAGTGTAGTGGTTGGGTTGTCATCCTCTAAGTAGCAGGTTTAAAGTTCAAATCCCATCTATGATAAAATTTGAAATTATATCTGCATTATAGTAACTGTCTCCTGTCGATCAGTTGTCCTTATGTGACTGTTACTCAAATACACCAAGTCAGGTTACCTGATATTGAGAGCTTAGGCATCTATATAAAGTATAATATTACATGTATATAGAGAAATGTTTATCAGTGTTGTATAAAACTTTAGTGAAAATTCACGATAAGACCATCAAACATAGAAGACTAAGGAACTGAGGTAATGGAAACCTACTTGGAAATTCCTAAGTAAAAAGGTAGCATGAACTTTTGACAGTATTATTAAACTAGTTAAAGCCTATGAAACACCTTCATAGAAGCTAAAGATTAAAACTAGATATCAAATATGTGTAGAGGAGCATATAACCAACTAGGCTGCCAGATTCACCAGAGAAAAAGGATATATAAGTATATCATACTGAGCCATCTGGATTGATAGTTTGGAATGAGACCGATAGTTCTGAGTTGTGACTAGTAGGAGATGATAGAGAAGATGCTAAGAAGATAGGTACTAAGATTCTAATAAACTTTACAAAAGTAGAAATAGTGTAATGTAGCAGTTAAACAGGTAATCCCTGTGATTGCAAGTATTAGGTAATTATAGCATATTGTATAAAACTAGGTCTATATGTGTGGGATATAAAGGCTCTAGTAAGTTTTTTATCAAAGATAAAGTAGTTCTAAGAATAATGATAAGCATCAGAAACTTGAATAGGTGTAGCCTTAAGATGTTCTCATGATACAAGAAGAATTGCATATGCAGAAGGTTTAAATAGACAAGACCCCTAGTTGGCTTGTAAGTATGGCAACTAGTATAGAACTTATATAGCAATATATAAGTGGACTACTTAAATTAGACACCAAAAGTGTATGTATGGCTAGTTGTAATCTCTAATGTAAGGGAGCTCTTAAAAGCATCTATTTTCTAACAAAACTTGAATAAAATATCACATTCCCAAGATAGGAACTTTAATTATAAAAAAAACAAACAAATATTTTATTCTAACTGATCAACAAAATATTATTATTATAATATTATTTATATATTATATAAATAATTATTTAAACTTTTATTATTGATGAATTTTGAACTTACAATCTAATATTTAGAAATTTAACAACTTATTTATTTTACTAAGTTATCAAACACTTAAGTTTTTAATTTATTAAATTGTTTTAAGATAAAATAATTATTAAATATATATAAAATTAAAAATATATATAAAATTAAAAATATTAATTTTTTTGGTATTTTGATATATATATAAAAAGTTTTTTAAACAAATAATTAATTGTTTAATATTTTTAATTTTATATCTATATAATATTAACTAATTTTTAGTAAATATTCAAACTCTTTTTGCTAATCCTTATAACTAAAATCAAAACAGAAAGAAAATTATAAAAATTACAAAAGCTAACAAATAAAAGCATAGTTGTCAACTAAACAAAGTTAAAGCTTGTAAAGAATTAGATATAGTTTGTTAGAATAGTAGACCAAGTTGACAGCAATATAGTAGACATCTTTAACATTTAGAGAAAATTTTACTCTTTGTTAAAAATTTTTGCCGAAAAAAGAAAAAATACAAAAACTTTGTATGAACAACTCTTCCCATCGATCATTCGGACACAAAAAATAGCTAAAGAAAAAAGAAGATTTTAGCAAAATTATCAATAAAAA